CAGCAGAAATGAGATCTCACAGAAGTTGGGCAGTAGTGAGTCTCAGATGTTGGAGAAAACTCTCTCCTGAGAATTTCCTCCCTGGTAATTCTGCAGGTGAGTCTCTCTTTGTAAAGCATGTACATTTGGAGTTGTGTAGTGAGAAGAAAGGGAATGGGGAGAGGAAATTATTGTAAGCTCTGATGTTAGTGATTGTATAGTCAAAGCATCACTATGTAAGCCTTCCTTTTTGGTTATTACTGAATATTATTCCATTGGAAGTCAAAGAGAGGGTGCCTGCGTTAGCAAAGAGAGCCCTGATCAGGTGGAGAAAATGAAGATAGAAAGGCAGAGAGTAACTATAGTGAAAGACATAATCCCACAGATAAAAAAGCATGTTTCACATTCACCTGCCTGTCAGTAGTAGCTCAGCTGCTCTGTGGGCCTGGGGGATCATGAGTTGAGGAATTTAGGCTCAGCCTGCCAGTCTGGCCTCTGCCTTGTTAGGATAGAAAAAATCTGCACACACTGATCCCATTCACCATCTGGTTCCAGGAATGCCATACAGGGATCCATGTACAAGGACCTTTGTAGCAGCTTTCTGTATTCCAAACCTCTTAAACCATATTTTGGTGTCGTTCAGATTTCCCTGCTTGAGAGAGAGGCTGCAAATCTGTCAGTAAAAGAGCTCCATGTGTCACTAGTACTTTTTACGTTGGAAGGAGGAGGAAGATTTGAGTTGAAGGTTTGCAAGTCAGAAATTGGGGCTTGGATTGCTTCTGCAGCTCCTTTATGTGGCCTTAATTCTCATAAAAAATGCACATCATCTTACTCTTTACCCTATTTGTAACTTTGTTTTATGCATTCTGGATGCATGTGAATTTTCTGGTGAAATTTACATTCTTTCTGGAAACAACCGAAGGCAGATTTGAATATGAATTGTCTGGAAAAAAACTGTATGGCTTTGGCTTTTACAGCTGCCATATTTTCAAGTATTCACCTGGATATGGAACAAAAAGCAAAAAAAAAACATTTAACACCTCCCCACACTTCCTGTTTCTCATCCTTTCCATCAGATGGCATTTCTCAACTCCAGCAAGAGGTAGTACAGTGTCTCCTGTAGTAATTCTACCCAGTTTATGAAATTGGTGCAGAGGCATTTGCCCCTCTGGCTGCCTTTGTTCTCCCCCTAAATAACTCTTGCATTAAAGTATCCCGAGGCAGATTTAGTGTGCACAAAGTGTGCACTCTTCTGCCATGTGTGGACCAGCAGTGGATGTAAATAGAGATGCTGTGAGATTGGGGAATAGGTTTGTATGTCCAAAGGAAGAGAGAAGGGCATTACATTCATAGAGCATAATGGCATTGTTAATTTTGGCATTAGTGTTGTATGGCTTTTTAGGTATGTGGCAAATTGGCTTTGATTTTTTGGATTTCTTTATGTGCTGTGTTACCCCAACAGCACTGTGTATTGCAATGGTTTGGAACATGTTTACTTGTAAATACATTTATAAGTCTTACTGTAATGGCAGTTATTGCAATAACACTGAGCTGCAAATTAAGTGTCATGTCTAGATGCCCACTGGGATATTTTTCATCCATTCTCCATTAATTTTAACTATTTACTAGCAGCAAACTTTTTATACTTGAACATCAGGAGATGATCTTGGAGGGGTTTTCTTTGTTTCTAGGTACTGTGAAGGAGAGCAGTGCAAGTTATCACTGTTCAGTAAAAACTAAGAGTGGACCGCAGAATTCAGGACAACAACTTTCTCTTTATAGTTGTTCTACTACCGCTAAGTATTGACTAACCAGGCAGTTTAATTTTAAATGGAAAGTAGCCTTGTGATAACTAAGAAGGTTCTTCATTAAAATAGCAAAGTACAGGGATGTGGTAGCTAGAAACAGCTTGTCCAGAAGGACCATTTAGGAATAGGCAAAAGGTAGCCCTGAGCAAGATGTGAGCAATAAACTGTCAGGAAGTGGTAAAAGGAAAAGGAGCAGTGAATTTCAGCCATTGAATTTCCTTTCAGATGTATTTGTAACCTATTTGCCTTTCCTTTTCCCTTTCATTTGATTTCAATAGATCACAAAGAAGACTTTTCTGTCGCTCAGATCTATTGCTCCAGAACCTTGAGGGGTTTAAGTTGATACAGCATTAACTTATGCCATTAGAGTGTACCAGCACTCCCAGCCTGGCACTATTTGCCACTAAAAACACATTTTGTCAGCAGTAACTGCTTTTCTTTAAGAGTGAGGTTCCTGAGTAGATGCTCATGCTCTTTGGCAAGGTGAACTGAGCTGTATCGTGGTCCTGATGATATTGCTGTTTGACTCATTCTGTCAGGTGAATCCTAAGATTTATTTTCTAGGCAGTGTCCCAGCTTGCATGACTCTGTTTCACTCCTACTTGTGAAAATCAATCACAGGGAACATGGCAGAGGAAATTACCAGCATGAGCAGGGAGTTCCTTGAGCAGCAGCTGATCCCTGTGCCAATCAAAAGGTTTTGCTCTTTTCCTGCCCATGGTTGCAGAGGGGTCCATGTATTATTTGGGATCTGGCATGGGGTATAAAACAAGAGCTCACCCATAAGAGCTTGACTATGCTTTTTATATGCCCCAGAGTCTCTTGTCTATAACTTATTAGTATGATAATCATTATGAAATCCTTTATAAGATTATACATTGCAATCCAGCCATACATTAGAAAAGCATTAATATTTTATGCATTCCCTGGAGGTGAAAGTGATGCAATAGTTACAGATATATGGATAGAATATATATATATGTGTGTGTGTATCTGTTTCTCAGCTGAATAATGAAGGTTTTTTTTCTTGTGGAACCATGCTGTAGTCCTGATTAACTCCAAGAGCAGGATGAGGCAGGGAATGTGTTGCCATGTGCTGGAGCAAGAGGCTTCTTGTGGGTTTGTAGGATGGCAGCACAAACTGTAAGAAATTATATGTCACTGTGTGTGGCCTGCAGGAATAACTGAGCTGGAAGGAGGTGGAATAGCAGGGGTGGTGCTTGTGAGCTTGTCAGTGTAATATTCAACGTGTTCAGGAGCTTGAATGAAGCTTTCCACATCCAAAGGCTCTGGTTCCAGGGAAGTGGGGATGCTGCACACCCTGCTCCAGAGCCACAAGTCAGTCCTTGTAAGGTCAGTGCTTAGCAGGGCTTGCAGGAGCCCTGTAGTAATTAAGCTGAAATCTTCAGTGGAGCTTGCAGCTGCTGCGTTACTGTTGGCAGAAAGCTCATTGCTGAAAATACAGCAGGGAGAGTTGTTGTTGTTGTTGTGGGCAGCACAGGCACGACTGAATCCCTAAATAACTGCTGCCTGTGCTGAGCTGCCTTCCCACTGCAGTGTATTTCCTAATCTCTGCTGCTTCGGTTTCTTGCCCAACAGTGACACTGCTTGCTTGCCGTTTAAATGCTGTTACTGGTCAATGGCTGGTGCTGACTGCAGTTCAAACAAAAACAAATGCTGAGGGTCGGATTTAATTGCTCTCTGATGTACCACACTCTGTCTGTGAAGCAGGTAGCCTTGTTCTTAGACAACCTCTGGTTTAGTCTTGATTTTAAACCAGCCAGCCAAGCCACCCAGATCTCCAGTTTCTGATTCTGCTTATTGCCAACAGATTGGCATTTCTGTATCTTGGTTTCAGCAAACTCCCCCCTTGTAGAGGTTTCAAGGCTTGCTTTCCTCAGTTGGTGTGGACTGGTGCTCAGTGGCTCCAGTAGGGCCCCTCAGTGCATTTAGGGATGTGAATGTCCTTTCCAGAAGTATGGCCCCACCGTTTTAATGGATCACTAAATTGCAATGCAGTCCAAGGCAAAACCAGCAACAGCAAAACCATCCCTAGTGCAATATTCAGCATGTTGTGGAGCTTTAAAAGAAATGGGAAAAAAATTGGTTTCTGCTAGACCTTTTAGGATAAAATGTCCCCAACCAGCAAAACCACTCCTTTCTGGAAACTTCATTAAAAGTATGGTGAAACTGATTTGGCAGATGGAAAGTAAAGGCTGTAGCCAAAGTACTGGAAATTTTCCAGTGGAAAGACATCTATTGCTGAGTTGTATCATGTTTTGGGTGGTGATATGGGATACTGATGGACATCAGTAAATGCTGCATGTTGCTTACATTAGGTTTTAAATATTAGTAAAAAACTTGAGAGAACACATGGCTACCAAGTGAAAGATTGTTGACTGATAGGATTTGAGAATGGATTTAAAATCCATCACAAAAATGGAGGTATATGCTCTGTGTGCTTTGTTTTCTACACTGGCTGTGAATGCTCTCAAAAAGCTGCCCAAGGACTACACTATATAAGTTAGGGGTTAAAGAACTTTCTTATTATGGTTAATCTAATTTCCATTTGAACTTAAGCCCTTTCACCTGCCCATTCCTGGGGGAAAATGAAATATATTTACCATAATTGAACTGTAGCTTAATTTCTTTAGGTACACAGTAAGCCAATGATCTCTGGAGAATGTGCTTCTGTTCTAAGAGGCTTATGAACAGAGGAAAGCATTAAATAATAACACAACTTCCAGATATTTATGACTGCAGTGAAATCACCTGACATTGGAGGCTTTATTTTTTATAATCTGAAACTGAATTTATTCAGGGTATTTGGTGGTTCTTAAAGCATTCCATACTTTTTAAAATTATCAATTATCTTTTCTCACCCTGTAGCAAAGAGACTTATGCAGTGCTCCACCAAATAAAAGCTATTAGCAAAGCACCTGAACTTTATGTGATTGTCTAGAGCTGATATGATTTTGGAAAATAGAGGATTTTACCTAGTACATACTGGAATTTGTTTTTTATTGTACCCACATCAGCACAAATTACCCTTCTTTAGATATAAATCTACATCTGCCTCTCCCTAGTGTTGTCACTGGTGTTTCTGATGGTTTTTCACATGTTAATATGTCAGAATATGTGCTCCAGGGACCTCTTCCCAAAGCATCATGTGTAAAGCCGTGTAAACATGACCCAGACAAGCAGAAACTGGGCTTGCTGCTCATTAAGCATCTTTATTGCAGTGTGTCTGAGTGGTGATGAAATCCAAGTGCTCTGTGCAGGACCGTATGTCAAAATAAGGACTGCATAAAGAAAGAAATGCTTTTTAATTCTGGTCATCTTAAAAGCCCAATAATTAAGGTGATGGAAAAGATGGCTTTTACTGCCTACTCTCAGAAAAAGGAGGAAATATCATATATAATGCACCCCCAAAGGAAAGGACGACTAGATACAAAGTTTTTTAGGAATATTTTTTGCAAAACCTTTCTCAGGAAAAAACAAATCACAGCTATATTCATAGCCTGGATTTTATTTAGTTCCTCACTATTGCAGCATGACTATGGTTCTGGCTGCTCTTAGCAAAGTTAGGAAATGAGCTAGCTTCAGTATTAATATAGTGAGTTCCATTTGCAAAGCCAGTCAAGAGCTTTACACGGTGTTCCGAGATACCGGAATTGAATTCACAGGATTTGCCAAAGCTCTATTTTTTTGTCTTCATCTGATGTTATCAAGGTTGTTCATGTTCCAAAAATGGATGAATTTAGCAATAGTTAGCAGTTGGTAATAGGAGTCAAGAAGACCAAGGCTTTTAACACATTCAGAATGTTTAATTTCTCCTCCATCTGATGATAATAACTTAACATGTAAAAAGAAAATAACACAAAATTATGTGGATTTTAAAAACCTCCCACGCACCTTATGGAATTAAAATAATGTGTGGGCCTGGAACCACGAGTATGTTCACTAAGTATGATCTCCAGAAGCATGTTATATTTGAGAAAAAAAAATTAAATGAAAAATTAATCGTTGCTGTTTTATCCAAACACTTCATTTTTCTAACATTTTGCTATGCCCATTAGGTAATCATGCCATTTATGTTTAACTACATTTTTTCCTTAGGGTGGCATCTGTAAAATTTAAATATCTGCTTATTCATTTGGGGTGTTTCTATAACTGGAACATAACATTGCAGTAAATCTTGAAGCATGTCCAAGGAAAGGTCAGATTCTGCTGAAATTTTTACTTCTCTGAAGCTTTTTCACACCAAGACGTATTTCAGAGTGTAGTCAGCAGCGTGTTTCTGTAAGGTTGGGTGGTTTTGGTAGTGGCATGAGGAGCTGGTTGGGAGTGTGTGTTCCCAGGCAGGCTTGGCACAGCCCCAGGATGTGCAGTGAGCTTTGCAGAGTCACAGAACAGCCTGACGCAGGAGACACGCCGGAGATAAGTGTGGGAAATCCTCCCTGCCTCATCATCCCAGGGGATGTGCAGAGCGGGCAGGAAACAGCCAAACCCTTCTCCGAGATGTTTCTAGGAAGCAGTGCCACTGAAAAAAAACCAGCAACAAAAAAGCCCCCAAAAACTCACACAAAAAAGCCCCCCAAAACCAAACCAACCAAACAAAAAAAAAAACCTTTAAGAAAGCATTTATAGTATATATTTAATCATAGGGGGTAGAGCTCAGAAATTGTTAAAACAAGCCAGCATGGCCACTGTCGTAGTGGGGTACATATGTTAGGGTGTTTTATTAATAATTAGCCTTTTAAAATTTATTTAACAAAAATCCAAGATGGCTGTGGAAAAACTGTTCCTTGTAATGGCACTCGTAGTGCTGTAAAATGAGATTAGCACTTGTTATGGTATAGCAAATAATCCTGTTCTGAGTGTTGTGACAGGTATTTCAGGTTCTAAGAATTAGATGAGGTTAAAAACATGAGGAGGAGAAACTGGAAAATCTCCAGAGCTGAGAAAGGTGAAGCTGAGGGTGGGGAGCCCTCATTTCCTATGGCCACTTGTCCTAAAATGCTGCCCATTTCCCAGCAGAGCAAGTAATCCCAAAATCCAGAGCACTGCTTGTCTCCACTGTTCCCAGAGGCCCTACATGGAGGCTGAACGTGTTTGTCACATGTTGAACATGTTGTTTGTAAATGCTCTTGATAGCGTCCCCACAGTGAACACATAACCATGTGAAAAGTCTAAAATTAGTGTTAAAATGTGCTCATTTTCTTGATCAAAAGGGCAACGTTGCTCACAGTGAACCCTTTGGAAATCAGAGTTTATCTGGAAATAGCATTGTAGTTGGTAGAGACTAGAAATAGAATAGAATGTGGGGGGTTTAGTAAATATATTTAGGATGCAAGAGTCAGATGCAGAATGACATGGCAAAGATGTAGGTACAAAATACAAATACATCCAAACCAGGTTTTTCACTAAGTGGTGTTGTCTTTGACAAAGACTACAGCCAAGAATTAAATTTAAAAGAAATTTAGCAATCTTTTTTTTTTGTAGTACGTATACTTTGACAGGTTTCATTCATAAGCCTCCTATATCAAGAGCATTTTTCCAGGTATTATTACAGAAGCACTAAAAAGACACAGAAACTGTGAGGAGGTTTTTTTGCCAGAAAACATTTCCTGAAGAAGACAGTCATGCCCAGCAAACCAGAAATATGCTATTTTTGAAAGAATTTGTATATAGAAAGCATCTTCAGGAAGAAGAGATGGAATGTAATCTTCCTTAGGTATACGCCTGTTAAGATATTTTTATCATGTACTGCAATCTAATGCTAGCTCATGTAAGAGGGGCTTTGCACATTCCTTTCTCATTTCTGTTAGGAAATTAAATCCTGATAAGGTTCTATATGATGTCTCTTATCACTCTGTAGAGTAGCAATTTAAAGACCAGAAACACATATGGTTTTTCATCTTTATGATCCAATTTTGACCACTGGAGTTTGTTTCCTGCTGCTGTTTTCACAGGGGCAGAAAATGCTTTGTCCAAAAAACCACTTAGCTCTCTGCTGGCCTTCAGTTTGAGGAATGTTCTGTTAAATCCAAAATACACAGTTGTAATATTGAGCAAAAATTGGCTTCCTGCTAATAAATTCATACAAATAGTGTTTGGGTTTCTCTTGGCTTTCTTGTTAGCTCCTCATGTGAGGGGCCAGCAAACTGCAGATGAGAAATGGTGAGGAAAAAATGAAGCATCACTTACAGTCAAAGAATTGGCTGGGCTAGAATTTAAGCAGTGAGAAGAGCAATTTGGGGGTGTGAGGAGTCTGTGCTCCCTGTAAAAAGCCAGGGTGGGTTTGGCAGCCTGGAGTGCCAAATTCAGTCCCCACCAGAGACCCTCCACCAGTGGAAAGCCAGAAAGATGAAGGAGCAGCAGCACAGATGCAAACGTGTGCCCTGCATCCCTATATCCAACCTCATTTTGCAGCGGCACTCTCTGAACATTATTTTTATTCTCCAAGACCCTCAGTGAAACAGTTTTGTTACAGCTCCTGCTTTTCGACCTTTAGGGTGTTATTCCATAACTAATCCATGTTTGGCTTTCTGAAAATAACATGGAGGACATAACGGAGATGAATATCCAATCAAAAAATCTTAAATTGCTGTCTTTAAGGGTTGATCTTTAAATATAATCTGCCTGCAAGTAGATTACACTTATGGTCATTTGGGTACAAATGCACTTTTATAAGAGAATAATTCACTCAGGAAAGCGAGCAGAGGGAATTTAGAGAAGATGGACAAAAATAACTAGGAAGCTCAAGGAATCAATTTATGTTCAAGCATTAAAGTAATGACAATAAAGCTTTACCAGCAGAGGCTACAGAGACTTCAGTGTCTTGTAGTGAAGCATGATTATTTATAAAAAAGGGAGAGAAAAGCTTGAAGAATATTTTATTTCAGTGTTAGGTCAAATAATTGATGGTGATTTCCAGCTGGCAAAAAGATAGCAGCAAAGACATTTAAAAGTGGCAAGTTTAGGCATTATGAGGGACTGTCCTGTCAGTGTCTGGGTCTGCCAGGCTCAGGCTTAATAAATATAAGGTACAAATTCCAACATAGGCTTCAAAACAAGTAGGGTGGGGTATTTTTGTTGGTTTAGGGGCTGGGTTGTTTGGTTGGTTGTTGTTTTGTTTGTTTTTTTTTTCTTGTTTTCAAACTAACTCAAGATGAGCAAGTTTAAACATAACGTTTCTTCCAGAGAGGTGAGAATTTGGTACAAATATTTTTTTCTTTCTGCATGTGTTTTTGCTTTGTCTGGTTTTGTTTTTTTTTTTTTTTTTTTTTTACAGTAAATGCATTTTCCTGTAAAGACTGCAGCACATGGGTTCCCAGGGAATAGTTCAGTTGTGTTTTGACTTTTAAAACATTTTATACTTTCTTTTCCTCTCAACTTCAGGCATTTAGAATGCATTAGGGTCACTGGTTCTATTAGGAATGCTGATGTTAAGGTTAGTTCAAGGGTAATTTAATATATTTAGGTATTGAAATTCTGTAAAAGCCAAGATGCTTTATTTTGGATGTAGGTCTAGATAATAGATATCTTGTATTGAATTCAGGTTTGGGTGGAGAAAAGGTAATATGGAGTTACAGAAGTATGTCAAGTGGCACTGGAGTGTACATAAGAATAATGAAAATAGAAAATTAAGCTCCTAACTGTCTAAAAAGATATATATATATATGTATATATATATATATGCATGCATACATTGTATAATGATTATGCAAAGAAGGAAGTAGAATGTAGCCTTTTAATATTATAGAAGGTTTTTCTTCTGTGATGCTTCCCATGTTACTATCACAAGGAATTATTGATCCAAAAGGCCATGTGAACATAGCTGTAGAGTAGAAAAATAATGGAACTAACCTGTTCCAATCTAATAATAAATAAATGACATCAGAGTGCTCATTATTTTAATTAAATTAATGAGAAGTCAATAGTTATGATACTTTTTTTCCCCATCATGTAAACAAGAGGGATTGTTAATTCAGGGCTCAGCAATACAAGAGCATCACAGCTCCAAGGTCCCCAAAAATTGAACGAGAAAACAACATTATAAGTTGTTGTTTAAACACAGATCTGTAGCTTACCCATGGTAGTTGTCTTGCTGTGGTATAGTTAATTGTACTTTGCCTTGTCTTCTGATCACACAGGTCTTACAGATACTCAAGGAAAATGTGCATTTGGTATAACTTGGCATGATTTATATAGCTTGGAGCGATGAGTAAGTTCTTACTTAATTAGATGAATTATGTAGACGTTTTTTAATTGTCCAAATGCCAAACCAGATACACTGGGCTTTGCAACTCCTCCCTATTTTTAGAGCAATACTGACTTTATTTCTTACCACATTTTTTTTCCATGCTAGTAATTTATAATGTACTTGAGCTATTTTGATATGGTTATCTTTAATTAAGCACATAACTTATTAATATTTTGCGAGTTGGATTAAGTTCTTTTGATAGTATTTTACCATGCCAATTTGTAATTATGTTATTTCACTAGAGCAGACAGATTGGTAAGTCATGAGTTATTAGGGAAAAGAAATTGTTCTAATGAATAAACAGGGCCTTGCAGACAGTAAGTTGGTACTGTCAAGCATCACTCAGGATGGCCAAAATAAGGACTTGAAGGATATTTATTACTGGACTGCAGGTATTTATCAGTATTTAAATCATAATTAATAAAAACTGTGTGGTTTTAAAGTCTGGCAATGCATCATATTATGTAATATTAGAAATATCCTTCCCCTGCACGTGCTTGATCCTGTGCTGTGTTTTGGTTTTGTTACACCTAGTGCCCCGTGAAAGTGAACCAGTTAATCCTTGATGTGATTTATGGTGCTTTGAGCTGGGAGGTTGTAACCATAAATATTGTAAGGGGCTTTGATTTCCAGATTATGCCAAACATTCCCACTTTGAAAAATGGATCTCGCTGAAACGTGCAACGTTGGGAAAGTAAACACAACGTTTTAAATTTAATTTCCATTCTCTTCTGTGACAATTACAGATCACATGAGAAAGGAAGCCATCATAGCACGTCACATATTGAACTCGATGAAATGTATTACAATTTGAATCTCTGGAGTGGTTTTCCCTCCAGTGGGGCTCTAATTTATACCTGCTCGTTCAGGAATAAATAGTGCTATTTTCTGACTTGTCATCTGTCTCACCTCACCTCTCCTCAGCTTTTACACTGAGAAAATGATGTCGTTGAACTGAATGCTAAAGCAGCAAACTGTGTTAAGATTAATTTCACAGTCCAGCCCGTAAAATTTTTAGAATGGTTCTGTTCATCCTTTTATTGCTGTGACAGTAGATGTCCGGTGTGGCACACGTACACAAAGGGTAGGTCCGTGTGTATACAAGGAGAGACAGAACGATTGAAGGGGTGAATACAGAAATGAGGGAATGCTGGTGGTGCTCTGAGTTCTCCTGAACTTCCTGGTCTCATTACCACCACCCAGTGGAAAAGTCTGGAGCTAATGCCAATTCCTGGTGTCAGCTTGAGGACTTCTTCCCATGGAAATATGAGCCCAAGCTCACAGATGTGAAGTTTCTCATTGACTGTGGAATACTTTTGATCAAATTTTCAGACTCCAGACTTTTGAACTCTGGAAAAAATTATGTGACTGTTGGCATGGAAAATAATCTGTGTTTGTAATAAATGGCCACAAATAATCTGCGATCTATCCTAGATCTCAAAATTTACAGTTTTCCTATTTATTTTGTGGATTTCCTTTTATCAGGTTTTCCCTTGATGCCTCACTTACTTTTGTTAAAAGATTTTTATTTCTTAAAATGAAAAGCTTTCTTACCTTGGAAATGTTGCATTTTTAACTGGATAAAATTAATTACAAAAAAATTAATTGCTAAAAATGACAACTTGGTGCTCATTATGTCGTCAAATTCATCTCCAGAAAAGTACCAGATGCAGAATGCCTGCTTGAAATCTCTTTGGATATTGTTTATGGTGTTCATGTGCTGTTTCTTTATTGTAATGCTAGTTGTGTACCTTGCCTGCTGGATTTTATTGAGCTTTGGCTGGTGGCTTGGTAGAATCACACCCATTCTGTGGTCTTTTGACTTCTGCTTTTTGATTTATGAAAAGATATATTTTTTTAAAATTTTTTTTTGTTGTCACTGAACGATTGTTCCTTGCACTGTTGTGCTAGATTGTTGGGGAAGGGAAAGTGAAAAAGATTTTATATAGCAGTCATTTGGGAACAGTCATGGGATGGTTTGGATTGAGACCTTTTAAAAAAGGTCATTTAAAAAACAAACGCTGAAGACTCCCCTGCCACGTGCAGGTACACCTTCCATTACAGATGGAAGCATTGCCTCTGAGATGAAATCTATTTTTTTCTTATGATTTTTGAAAATTTAATTTCATTTATTTTTCTAGGGTTTGAGTGGATATTGGGAAACCATAATTCCATGATGGACTGTTTCAGGGGTTCATTTTCCAGTTTGCTTTTCACACAGAGACACTCTATTTGATAGAGGATTTGCTTCTAAGGCAGTGTTTAACATAGCACAGTGAGTTGCATTTTCAGTGTTTGAAATGCTCAGGAGTGGCTTGTGCAGCCATCAGGTGTTTTGGCTTGGGCCGTCAGGTGTTTTCTGGCCTGAAAATATCCTGCTGTTTAATGCTGTTATAGTACATCAGTTCCTTGTTGGTGTTACCTCATGTTCAGTGTGCCATTTGCAATTTTATTTTAAATTTTTATTTGTCTGGTTTGGTTTTTCAGGAATGGATTAGTGGAGAAAATAAAAAGATGCAGTGTGGATGTGCTGTTAGGGAAATTGTGCAGCACAAACATTAAGAAGGGAGGATAGAGAGAATGCTGTATTATATCCAGTAACAACACAGGTTTTCCCAGCAGTATCCTAAAGCAGGCAGTGGTAATACTGGTGATTGGGAAGAGCAGGGGCAGAGAAGTGTTTGCATTTCTGAACACTGGGATGTGGTGCTGGATACAGATGTGGATATGTGGAAAGAGGGAGGGGATGATTGCTGCTGGACAAGCCTTTTCCCTGAGCTGTTCTGCATAGGCAGAGCTATGAATCTGTGTGCTTTGCAGGGCTGAAGGAGCTGAGAAATGAAAACAGAGCGTGTTTTAATGAATCTTTGCTGCTACTTGTGAGGTTGAAATGCAAGTCCAAGCCTTCCCAGTGTTCTCCCTGTGACACAGCCCTGGGGGCTGCAGGGCTTTAAGGCACTGCTGCCTTTCCTTATCTTTGTGATAGCAGAGCTGCACTCAGCTCAAGGGCTGGAGCAGGGAGCCCACTGTGCTGCTCCTCACACAGCATGAGGGATGTGCTGGGAACTAGGCTACCAGAGCATCCCAGTTTCCTCTTTTTCCTGCTGCACCACCCCCACAGCTGATGAATGAATGAATGCAGTTGTAATACAGTGTTTAATGCACATCACCCCTTATGTCTTTTAAAAGGTACTCGGGATACTCCCAGCTTTCCTTCTGCTTCATGCAAGGATGATGGGCCTCTGAAATAGGGAAATGCATACAAGGCTCAGTGAAAGGAAAAAAGGACCAGCAAAAGGAGACTGAAAGTGCAGGAGATGGTAAAAAGGTGTGTCTCAGGCAGCAGATTACTTACAGGGAGATATTCTTAGGATAAAGTGAATTTTGTTGAATTCAGTAAGAATTGCTATGGAAATTTAATTGGGTTTGTTGTGACTTAAGCAAAGATATTCCTTTCTATCCTTGATGGGTATGTTTCAAGAGAGAATTTGTTTCAATCATTTGATTTGTCAGGATTTGTTAGTAACACATATGCTGTGCCTTGCTTTAAAAACTGCTAACCAAAAGAGTTGATACTCTTGAATATTTTTTCTGGGTTATGCAAGGATTATTTCTTAACTAATGAATATTATTAAATATTGGAATGCAGAATATTGAGTATTCCTCACAGGCAGAAAAACAGTAGAATGCACAAGAATCAGTTCCATTTGTTCACTGGCTTCTAGTTCACAAGTTTTCCAGAAAGTCTCTCAAATCCATACTCTGCTTCTTGAGTTGGTATTTGCTGTTTTATACAGGAACAACTCCTTGGAGATTTTTCCCAAATGGAGGAATAAAACCATGAGTAAATAAGGAGCACTGGTTATTATTACATAGCAGAGATTTGTATAAATAGCAATAAAAACAGCTGAAACCCCAGATACTTACCCAGGAGAGCAGGACAGAGATGGAAATAGGAAATATTGATGGTCAGGGATTGATGAAATCAGCAATTTATTGAAAAGAAAAGATCTGGGTAGGAAGAAGCATCTTGGGCCTGTGTGATTATAATACACAGGATGAGGCATGAAAATTTAGGTGAAGGGTTGAGAAAGGTCAGAGATCAGCTAAAAAAAAAGAAAAATAAAAGACAACCAGAATAAGCAGGACTAGAAAAGATGTACTTTGCTTGTCAGGGGTTATTTGTTGTCCTTTGTTTATTCAGTGCTTTGGAGGAATCAGGTGGTTTTTAATTGATATTTTTTCCTCCTTTAATAGAGGTGGACAGTGAATTTCATGAGCAGAAGCTATAGCAGCTTTCAGTGCTGTTGCTCACTTCTGCTTGGTACAAAGCAGGGTGAACCTTTGAAACCTGAGCTGTGGGAGCAGATTTTCTCTGCTGCTTCAAGATGTTCCCAAGTCCTTGGACTCTTAGCAAGAGTGTGCAAGCAGTGCCTGCCCGTCTCTGAAAGGCCAGAGAGCAGCTGTACAGCCCTTTAACTTTTAAAAAACCCTGAAAGGGCCCAGGTATGGCTATAGCAGCTGTGAGTCAATGTGTCAGTCAAGTGTCTGTGCAAGGATTTCAGGGAAAAAGGTTCCAGTTTTTTGAGATGGTGGATGTAGGGACTTTCATTCCCAGGCAGAAGGGTCCTCACCTATCAGTAATGTTCTGTTTAGAAGGTGGGAAAAAATTGTTCTAGTCCCAGTTGGAATATATTTATTCCCAGCAAAGAGTTGCCTAATTTTATTTCTTGCATAATTTTCTTCTTTTCTTCTGACATTTTTGAGAGGGATCCACACCCATGGTTCTGTCTTGAAAGGGAACCAGGCCTTAAGTGTGCTGTGTTTTTAAATTTATCAGGTATTTATAATATTGACTTGATTTTCACATGGCAACGAACTTGCTGGTTATTTCTAGATGTACACGTACATCCTGATAACCAGAAAAATCTGTGCATATACATTATCACACTCTTTTTTTGGCTGTAACAAGAAGCAGCAAATTCTGATCTCTCACCTGTGGCTCAGCTGTCAAAACTTTCCACTTTTGCCATTTCCATAATTTCCTCCTAAGTGTTGGAAATGCTAAAGAATGAGTGACAGCTGTCAAAATTTACTATTCATTGTGTATGATCTGAGGCAATGATAGAAGATGTTTATCAGAAAGGGGCGCATCTCAAAAAAATGGGTCTTCCTTCATGAAGGATACAAGCACCTGAGACAGTAATTTCTGCCAGGGAAGTGTTTGTGTGTGTCCCCATCCTCAATCATCTGGCAGCAGCTCATCAGTTTTGGAGGACAAGATAATAGGACACTGCTATTATGTTGCCAGCAGTAAATGCTGACTAAGAGACGTGTTCAGATGTTGCATCATGTTTCTGGGCTCCTTTTCTAAGGTGCTCCTTCTTTTGGCACTGGAAATTCATCCCATCAATCTTGATTTTTACAAAGCAGACTAAAGGTGAAGCAGGTTGGAGGATGAGCCAGCTAAGAGTGTTTCACACCTCACATGAGAAAAGCTGCAAACCACAGATACCTTATGGGGGAGAAAATCCCCAACAAAACAACAAACCACACTTAAAGCATCTTCCTTGTGCACATCTTAGGCAGTGACAAATTCTGGTCCTGGAAGCCAGCTCTGGTTTGTGTGCTGCAAAAAGAAAGGATCACTTATGCTGGGGAAGGAGCAGGGGCATGCCACAGCTGCCTCATGCTGATGTACCTAATGGTTTTTAGCCCACTTTGCTGGGGGCTTTGTACAACCGAGGCGAGCACATCACACGGGCGCTGAGGCTGAGGATCGCAGAGTCTGCGCCAGAGCCTGCAAGAAACCATGCTCGGTGTCCTTTTCCTTGCTAACGCCCAAGCCCTGCGAGGCCGGGTGGGCAGAGCCGCCTCCGCCGGCGGGCCCGGCCCGGGAGAACCGTGAGTGACCGCGGGGAGAGGCGGGGGAGCCCCGGGAAGGGGGATGCAGGCACTCCGGGAACGGGGGATGCGGCCCCCAAGGAAGGGATGCGGTCCCCCGAGCGGGAGGGATGCAGGCACTCCGGGAAATGGGGGATGCGGCCCCAAGCGCTTCCCGTGACCCAGAAGTTTTGCCAGCCCGCTCCCGATGCTGCGGGATGCGGCGGGGATGGGCTGCGGCGGCCGCAGCCCGGCGAAGGGCGGGATGGAGCTTACCCCGAGCGAGGATGGGGAATGACCGGTTTTCCCCAATTGCACTGTCACGGGCCACAGGAGCCGAGAGCGGCGGCCGATGGGGAGCGGGGGGGCTGCTCCGGCCGGGCAGGTGGAGGTGCCTGTGAGTAGGGTGTTAGAGAAATATGTAACAAAAAAAGAGAAAAGGGCGCGGTGGAGGCTGCTCGGAGGAGGGGGAGGGCGGGAGCGTTGGGCTGGGGGCGTCGCACCCCGGGCATCTCTCCATGCCCACCCCTCGGATCCCGGAGGAATCACACTGGTCGCCGTCCCCACCCCCGGAAAAAGGAGGGCACAGCCCACCTGCGGGGCTGGCTGGCTCGGGGCGCCGGCGCTGCCCCGTCCCCCCGCCCGTCCCCCTTTACCTGCCGGCGGCCCGTCCGCGGCGGGGGCAGCGGGGCGTGGGGCGGTGGGTGGCGGTGGAGGCGGCGTGTGACAGATGTCCTCCTCTGACAGCGCTCGGTACCAGCCCAGTGGCTCCCTGCCATTGGCTCAGTGCAGCCGACCGGCAAGGCTGCTCGCTATAATAGCACTATGCCTGCCAGCGGCGGCGGCAGCTCGCTCGGCTCCGCCGCGGCCGCCCCGCCGCGCATCCTCCTCACCCTCCTCACCCTCCTCCCGCGGCCGCGCCGCGCCTGAGGGGCCGCAGCCCCCGCCCAGCCCCGCCGAGCCCGGCCCGAGGAGGCGGCCCCGGCCCCATGGAGTGCTACTACATTGTCATCAGCTCCGCGCACCTCAGCAACGGGCACTTTCGCAACATCAAGGGAGTTTTCCGCGGCCCCCTCAGCAAGAACGGCAACAAAACTCTGGTAATGGCTTCTCCCCTTGCCTCCCTCCTCCTCCTCCCTGGCCGCGGCGGGGACGCGGTGCCCTGGGGGCAGGCGCTGCCGTGTCCCCGCAGAGCTGCGGGCGGCCCGGGGACCCTCATGGGCGGGAGCCGCAGGGCCGGGGCTCCGCAGCCTGGGGAGCCCGGGGAGAGGCGGTGCTGCCGAGGGGCTGAGCGCGGGGGCCCCCGGTGCTGTCCCCGGTGCGGGCACAGCCGCGGGTCCCGCCCGGGGAATTGCGGGGAGGGAGCCGAAACTTGTCCGCTGGCTCGTCCGAGCCCTTTGGGTAGGGAGGTGCGTTTGGGCAGAGCCTGAGAAACGATGCGCGGTTTGGTTTGTTGGCCGCCAAGTTCTCTTTGAAGGCAGAACTCGCGGTTTGACAGGGCTCGGTGGGTTTGGGGAATTTGGTGTGGTGGATGGTCCAGGAAGCCTGCACGGGCTATTGGGGCTGTTTCTGAATTGATGCTCCATACTCGGGTATGTGTGCATCTGTTGGGTTTGCTGTGGTTTTGCTTACTTGCTGGAACTCGCCTCGTGCTGCTCCTGAACTTTAATGGAAGAGTGACGGTGCAGTAGCCTTGGCAATGCATTTGCTCTCCTGCCTGCTCAGATAAGAGGGATGTGGGATAGCGGCAGGCTGGGTGAGCTGCATGGCAGAACATCTCAATCACGGCACAACACAGTGTGGACAGATGTCTGGAGAGGAGGATGGAGCCGAACGAGGGGCTTAGCCACGTTGTTTATCTCTCTCTGCCATCACTGCCTCATTCTGACATCCTCTTTGGAGGAGATGGAGCAGAACTTACTCACCACATTCTTGTTCCCTCGAATGCACGACCTATATTGATGGGGAATTTACTGAAGTACTTAACATTTGCTAGAGTTGGCAAGCTTGCAATTTCTTCCTAAATAAAGAGATTAAAGCAAGTCTGAGCCAAGTCATAAAAATAGTAACTACTACGAGAGAATCTGAGGCAGATTTTTGGACTGTTTCAAATGTGAAGTTCCTGCTTTCACGTTGTAAATCCTTACAATTTTATTTGCTGTGGATTCTGCATATTTTTCTGTCAGGGATCGCGTTCTTGGAATTTTAAACAAGTATTTGTAGTATCCATGAGATGGCAATATGTGTGTAATATTTCACTGTTACAGTTGCAAACCCAAGACCTACTGCAGAAATATTTGGTACATTTCAAATAATGGCATGATACATCACCTTCTTCCTACTAAACAATTTCAGTAAAGATGCATTTGGCAGGACTGAGAATACTCTGATGTAACTTTTGGACTGTGTATTATCTTGCAGTTCATAATGGATTTTGCTTCAACAGCATTTTTTAAAAATATATTCTTATTCCCTTGGCAACAAAAAAGAAAAAGGCAGCCCTTTATTCTCAATATTCCTGATTAATTTATTTACTGATAAAATTATTTGTGACCAAAATATTTTGGGAAAGACTGGTGCTAACTTGAAAGTCAAATAAAAGGTAATTGTGTGGGCTTTGAAAGGCTCATACTCTGGAAAAAAATGTACTCTGGGAAGAAATTTTAACTCAACCCTGTTGTTCATTGAGACAGATGTGAGGGGAGACAAGGCAGTGTTGGCTGTGGGACTGCCACGAGAGCCCTCAGTGTGTGCTCTGAGCACTGGCAAAGTTTTTGCTGGGTTGAAAAGGAAAAGTTCTTGATGTGTTCTCTGTGGACAGAGAAATGGAATCCTTCCTTATGAAATAAATGGTGTAGATGCAGGCATCAAGGCTTGTGTTTCTGTTTGGGCTATTTTTTAATTTATAGGCGGTAAAGTTGCCATGAAGTTGTGATAATAGCTCAGAATGGAGAGTTCTGTGGTGCTGAAGTACCTTTACATCCATTTCAATAGGAAAATCAGATATTTCATTGTTCCCCACAGGGTTTTTTAGTCATTTTGACTGTAAACAAGCTTTTCAGACTTGGAAGGATGAAAATATTTGTTAGTGTAAGCTAGACTAAGTCTTGAGAAATTGCAGTAAGAACACAGCCTTTTAGTGTGCTCATGCTGTCTTCCACCATAGGGAAGGACTAGGAGAAACAGCAATCTGTGAAGCTAAAAATCAGAAATTTTGAAGCTGCTCTGACTCAGACATGTCTTCCTATTTGCTGTAAAGCATTCGTTGTCTCTTCATCTGAGCTCCAAGCTTTCCAAAATCACTGCTTCCTCATGAACCAACCTGAAAGCAGCCTCCCTTTGTAGAGCACAGGATTGCTTCTGTGCAAAACTTACCCTTGTTAAGTTTTGGTTCTCCTTCAGAGTTCTGCCACCACGCTCTGTTTAGAAATAAAGGTGAGCGTATGTTTCAGTAGAATTTCACATCAAGTAGAAAAGTGCTGGGTCTAGTCAGATGTCAGATGATGTTGTGATTTTGAGATGATTTTTTGTGATCTATCTTCAAATCTGAGCTGGTCAGGGTTCAGGGGAGAAAGCTCCTTGGACCTTTTCGCTACTGTCCTATTCTGGAGTGACCTGATATTGCCCTGAAACTCCTTTTTTTCTTTTTATTTTTGCTCCTGCCCTCCAGGAGAGGTCACTGAGAGATTTTTTTTTCCCCCCTGATTGTTTGTCTCTGTGGGCAATCCTTACGTGTTTGTCCTCTGCCTGTGTCCTGTCTCACACAGAATTAGTAGTTTAAAACTCTCTGAAGGTTTGGTTCAAAACTCCCAGAATACAGCAGGAACAAAGAGCTGGTAGGGAGCATGAAACACAAAGCTTTGGCCTTCCATAAAGGCTGCTCAGTGGAGAGCATCAGAGAGTTACTTTTTGGTAGAAAAGATGGAGTGACTGTGTTTCTACTTTCTTTATCTGTCTTTAATGCTTAGTGAGTGTGGGCTTTGAGATGGGGTTATTTGGGAGGGGGAGAGAAGTACATGAAGGGTAAAAAATACAAAGGAGGAGGAGGATGGGGAAAGCCACAGTTCTGTTCCTCAAGAGAAGGCCTTGGGAAAACATGAGCTCAGAAAGTGGTGAAAGTCGTAAAAGGGAACAAAGGAAAGGGTGGCTATAGGAAACTGAGAAAACAGGTTACTGTAAAAACTTTTAAAATTAAATAAAATAATAAAAAGTTGCTTGTGAATGAACCTTTAGTCAGGTGAGGGTGGGAAAGGAAGGAATGTGTGTCTACATGCAGTTTGGGTATCTGAGAGCTTTGCCCAGTGCATGTGGTCCCCCTGGCCCCTGGGGTATGGGTCCCTTACCCCATTGCAATCTGCTGCTTCTTGTCAGGAAAATAAATCTGAATATGGAATTGATGAAAAATGGGCCCTTGTGGAAGAACAGCCTCCAAACTCTTATAAAAAGTAACTTGATAAATGGAGCAGTATGGTTACAAGGAATTGGTGGTGTTTGTGCTGTCGAATAAGACTTTATCTATCCTCTCCCTATGCAGTTTGTATTGCCTGAAATATCATTCAAACATGCAGAGTCTCCTAACAGTAGCTCATCTGCCACTGGAGTACTCCATGGCAGCTCTTTGGAAGGTTTTGTTGTTGTTGCTGAGTACTGTCACCACCTGCCATGTGGTCCTTGTGTGGCAGATGGTTTCTGAGCTGGAAACTCAAGACTTACCATGTGGGTCAGTGCTATGCGATGATGTTTCAAATTTCTAGTGCTCTTTCTGTATTTTCGTGCTTTTTGGTGTTTTAATCAATGAATATTGGCCTGATTGCTTGGCCATTTCATGTCAGGGTTTGATATTATGGCTGTGAAGTTTTCCCAAGGATGTTCTTTTTGGCTGTAGCAGTTTATAAAATTTTTTGCTGCAAACTCTGTTTTGCTATAGTCCTGAACTTTTAATGCACTTACTCTGTTATTTTTTTTTGGCCTTACGCTATTGCTGCCAAATTACAGTAGTCTGTCTTTGTAATTCATCTTCCTTGCTGGGGCTGCTGTCTTGCAGTTTATAATCTCAAAAAATATTGCAACTTGTATGAAAAAAACCCCCACTTTCTGGAGAGAGAAATCAGTTGTTTGGAGTTGGAACCACAGGTGATTTTTTAAAATCCTTTAAATTTCTTTCAGGATGTAAACCCCAAACTAGGATAAAGTATTTATCCTGGTTAATACATAAAATTTTTGGTTGGTCAGCAAGAGAAGTGACTCTTTGGCTTTCTGAGTAGCTGGTATGTGGCTGGTGACTGAGTATCTATTGTTTCACCTTAAGGTATTGCGCTGGTGTAAAGGGCTCTGTTTCCTTGAGATTTACAATGTGGAAGTGTGGGGCTCCTTCACATCTTTTAATTGGAGAAATAGATTTTCTCTGGTGGTGATCAGAGTGAGTGAGGTGCTGTCACTTGGCTGAGGAGGTCAGGGAAAAGCTTAGACTTCTGTGTGGTGTAAATTGCTACTGTAATTCCAGTTTCAAGTGTCTTGTTGATAACAGATAGAAAGCAGATGAGATCAGAAGGTCCTGATAAGGAGTTGGTTAAAGGACCAAATACACCAAACTATTTTTGTGATTAGCAGTGACCTCTATATACGTAGGTATATACTTTGGTTAAAAGTGTGACCACAGGGCACTCCAGAGGTAGAATGGAAACAGTGGTCCTCAGGTCCAAGTTAGTTAAACTGTTATCTATAACTATCACAAGTTATTTAAAACTGGAATCAAACTCTGAGCTCCATGCCCTAAGCCTTGTGGAGAAGATGATCTCATGAACTTCAGGTGGCTACCATGTAGTACAGCTTTGCGCCCCCCAACCAGCTGGGTTATGACTGCGGGGATATTAATTAATTAATAATGTAATTAATTTGTTTGT